CCCTATCTCCTTTTCCTCTCTGCGGCCTCTGCTGCTCCTCTATCTCTATCCATGTGCAGAGGAACTCTATTTTGATTACGATAATTTGGGTTAAGGTTTTGATTTGGTCTCTCCAACATCTCTCTACAACCTGTTCTCTCTCACCCTTTCTCTCTCTACGATTCATGGGGTTTTGAGGTTTTCTGGCATATCTAATTTGGGTAAAGGTTTTGATTTGCATGAGATTCTCTAGATTTCTCACTCACGTATGTGTTGGGCTCCAGATCTACTGCGATTTTCTGGCATATCTAATTTGGGTAAAGGTTTTGATTTGCTTGGTATTCTCTAGATTTCTCACTCACGTACGTGTTGGGCTCCAGATCTACTGCTTAGAAGACTTTCTATTCAGGGCTCAATTAAGGTAATCCATCGAGATCTCTTTCAGCCCCAATATTTTGGTTGTGAATTTTTTTGTTAGTTGTGTCGATTTGGTTGATTGGATGGAATTGGTTGCGTGATTTTTTATATAAATTATGGATTTAGTTTTCTGCAAATGGATCTCTTATGCGTCATTTTTGCTTTATTTTTGGTTAATTGGATAGAATTGGTTGTGTCATTTTTGCAAAGAAATATATATATATATATAAAGAAGGGCAAAGATTAAACCCTTATCTTTGGCGTACCATATACCTATACCATATACCTGTCAAATTAACAATTGCGGGGAAAAAAAAAAAAAGGAATAGATCATTGTGTTAATCATGAGGTTGTTAAAGAAAAGATTTTGGTGCATAATATTGGAGATGAGAGAATATAGTGTGTTTAAAAATTAGTTGCAGTTGATTTATAGTATCTTCCATCAAGATTTTTTACTTTCTTTGACATGTTTGTGAACTGTCCATAGTAGAGACAAATTATTCCCCTACCTAATTCATTTATATTTTATTATGTACGTACTCCTATAATAAAAAAATCAGGACCTGATAAAATGGAAGAAAATTGTGTCTTTCACTTTCTCTCTCTTTCTGACACTCTCTGTAGTGTGTATTATCTTACTATTTTTTTTTCTTCTTAGTTATGTATTAGTTTCTTTCTATAAATCTGCTGAAACGATTGAAGTATATGACATAAAATAATTGCTTGAATTTGGGTAAGATAAAAAGCTTATTTGTGTTATGTATTGTGCATATATAATGTTATATACTATACCTACCCTCCACTTTGATGTTTACAAAATGTGAGAGCATATTACAGATAAATAGAGAAAGGATGATAGATTCTACAATTTAGATTTTTAGCCTGAGTCTGGAAAATGAAGCTCTGCTAAGAGATCAATTCCAATGAAGTGAGGTCTGACAACTTGCTTAAACAATCATAACATCTTTTGAAGCATTCTAGGATCCAATTTCAGAATACTCCTAAACGAGTGATATGTGTATAGATTTTAGTCATTTGATTTGTTAAGGACACTAAAAAATCTTCCAAATGTGATAACAATAAATTATATGATAATTAGGTTTAGGAAACAGAAAGAGCAGTAGGTTATTGATTAAATTTAAAAATTATATATAAATCTCTTAGTATCTTAAAACTTTAAGAGCTACTTATCACTATAAAACAGAATTGGATTCTAGAATGCTTCAAAAGAATTCACAGTACCAAACACATATCTCATCACCAATTTGCTTACCCTCTTTTTTATACTGTAAAATTATAAAAACAGATTTGTGTAAATTCTGCATCCCTGTCTACAATTTAAAACTTGTGGAAGGTACCATACTAGAAATCAATTATTTCCAAGAATGCGTTGTATGTTAGTTAAAATCCACATGCCATACTAAGTATTGATGTTTAAATTATACGAGGAAATAGACCAAAAAATAAACTACTGACAAAGCCTTCTTCTATAAAGTTTGAAAATAAAGAGACCCCACGCTTGAAGAATTTCGTAAGACTTGGAAGATCCAGCCCACTCTCTTAAACCTGAAGCTTGAATAGAGAGCTAGTTGGTGCTCCATCTGTGAAGATCAAAGGCAACACTGATGTACACTCAAATCATGATTGAGAGACTAGATGATTTCATAAGTTGTTTGAGAAATTCTTCAGCTTCAGTAAAAGATCTAAAAGAAGGAACACCATACATCATCAAGAGAAGAACTTTTAGGCCAAAAGCCTTCTACAATTGTCTCTTCTCAACACTGAAGCAGGATCTCATTTCAACATTCTTCAACTTCACAATTTCCTCACAAGCATCAGTCAGTTGATTTCAAAAGCATGTACAATAGTCAAATGTCTATTCATTGTGTATGCATGTGAGCTAAATTATATTGTTCTCTTAAACATTTTATTTTGTAAACAGGGGGGTTGTTCTTAGTGATTTATTGTAAACAAGAGAAGTGATTAGTGAAGAGTGCGTGTCCAAGCTTCCTTGCCGTTTTGAGTGGTCTGTTAGGCAGTCTATGTTGATTTTTCATAGAGGGTATGCCCTCTTTAAGTATGTACGAACCACCCAGAAGAGAAGGATGAGCAAACCAACAAACATTCCCCAACCACCAATACTATATACCTAGCAACATCGTCACCTTCTGAGTCTTCAAGGTACGGGGATGCTTGATCTTTTGGTTCAATATAACATCTCCATTAATGAAAAAAAAAATTGTATTTGAATATCAGGATATTGGATTCAATTTCTTTTATATAAAGTTTTTATTTTATTTTATTTTAATGGATGTAATTTATGAATGAATGGGTCTTTTGATACACACATCTTATTAAATGTCTTTATCCCAATCCATGCATGATACACACGTCTTAATACTAAATATTGGTGTACTGAATGCACTTAATTTATCTGATGATGGTGTAGCACAAATGGGAGCCCTTAGAACTCATCTGATGAATCAAATCCGATGAATCAAATGTATGCATCATTCAGAGACAATGCTAAATAAAGTTACTTTTATCAAGTTAAGAATGCCAATTAAAATGAATTCACCTTCAATAATTATTTAAATATATATATATATACACACACATTAATAGTTAATATCATAAATTAAAGAAATAAAAGAGTGTATAATAATATTTTTATTTATTTTCTTAGTTCAGAAAACTATTTTCAAAAATTTATATAACCAAGTAGTTTTATGAGTTTTTGTTTTCCGGAAACTGTTTTGTAAATTCTCTTAACCAAGCAGGTTTGAAATCTGAAAAAACTGAAAACTATTCTATGAAAACTATTCTAGAGAACTGTTCTTGAGAACTATTTTTTGAAATGCATTCCAAGCATGGCCTAAATCACTGTGCTACAGTGGTTCTGTACTACAACATGGAAATTTACGGTAGAAGAAAGAGAAAAGATACGTAAAAAAAAACTTGAGGTTTAGTTTTGTCGCACTACATATTAATTAAGAGTAAAATTATATAATTTTATTTACTTGAACAATACTAAGTTTATACCATCTAAACCAGACTCTCTTGAATTATTTTTTTTATTTTTTATTATTATTTTTTTAATTTTAAAAAAAAAGGTGAAAAAGTATTATTAGGCTATAATTGTACTTGATTTGTAATAATTGAAATTTGAAGAAGGATAGAGTATATATTTTTTTAGGGCAAAGTACAAAAAATCTATTTCGACTTATAGCCTTTTCCCAGTAAACCTCCCTTGTTTATTTTTTTTTTTAATCAAAGAATTCCCTTCGATTTGTAACATTTTTTTTAATAAATCCCCATTGACTTATTTTTTTACCAAAGAACCCTCCTCGATTTGTAACATTTTTTCAATAAATCTTCTTTGTCTAATTTTTTACCAAAGAACCACCTTAACTATCTGAAGGGAGTAAAAGAGTTAATATTTGAACCAAAATGCCCTTTTATTTAAATCTTAATTCTCCTGAACTTAAAAAATTCATATATCACAAACCGTACATTTAAAAATTGTAAATAATATATGCACAGAAAGCTTATGAAATAAGGAGCTCAGAAATATAAGATTTGTACAACAATCTTATTTTATTTATAACTCGAGATATTTGAAGAAAATTTTCAGAATTATTCATTTACATATGGAGCCGAATATATAAAACATTTAGCCCTAACGGAGATTGATTTCATGAAATATTATATTTCGTGTCAAAGTATTTTTATTCTTTTATAGACTCACCATTTAAAATAAAAATAAAAATGAATATTCAGTCTCTATCGGTGCTAATTTTTTTTATATGTTATGTTCCATATGAAAATGAATAATTTTATAAATTTTCTTGCAAATATCCCAAATATTTTATAAAAAATAAAATAAGATTATTGCAGTAGGTTTTTAGATTGTCTTATATTTCTAGAATCCTTGTTTTATAAGATTTCCGTGCATATATTATTTGTAATATTTGGGTGTATGGTTTGTTAGATATGAATTTTAAAATTCAAAAAAATTAAGATTTAAATAAAAGGGAATTTTGATCTAAATATTAACTCGTTTACATTCTTAGATAGTTGATGAAGGGAGGTTCTTTGGTAAAAAATTAGATAAATGAATTTATTGAAAAGAGTTACATGTCGAGGGGATTCTTTAATAAAAAAATTAGACAAAAAGAATTTATTACAAAAAAAAAAAAAAAAAGTTACAAGTGGAGGAGTATTTTTTTTTTGTACTTTGCCTATTTTTTTTATTTTATCATAATTTAATACGAGAGTGAGAGGGTTAATTTACCCCATATAGAATATTCTTTTATGGTACCAAACTAACCGAGAGATATGGAGGGATAGAGAATATTTTGTGGCAATAATTATTGTACTTTGATCCTGAGGTGCAAAAGCCTCCTTCTGTATTGTACTCATAAATATTCCCATTAAATTGGATAATAAATTGATACCAACCAACCTGGACGTTTGGTTTTGGAACATAATGACCAAATCACCCCTAATGCTACCAACAACAAGACTCAAATTATCGTGAATATGCTCTAACAACAAAGGGATGTTTTTGTCATAAAAATACCAGCAGCTAACATATAGTCCATCAACTACTCTGGTTAATTCAGTCGTCGCTTCGATTTCTTTTTAGGGTTTCATGCTTTAGCTCGCGTCAAGTTTCTAAACTATCAAATTTAGGCGATTGCATACATAGCGCTATTGTTAGAGGGAGAGGGGGGAAGGTAGAGAGGGAAAGAAAGAGGCTAGCGTTGTTGAGGAATATAAGAGGAGACTTGGATTGGATTTCAGGGTTTTTTTCCATCAGTTTATAGACCCAGCTCTGAGTTTGATTGCAGATACTAACACCGTGGTGTTTTGAAAGGGTGGGTTTTTGTCCAGTACTGTTCCCTATTCATAAAGAAAGGTGCGATTTTTAAACTAATTTTTTATTTTTATTTTCATTTTCATTTTCATTTTCGTCAATTATCTGTGACATTGATTTTGATTTATTTATGCTGTGTATCGTCTTAAAATTGAAATTAGAAAAAAATTAGTTCAAAGTTTAAACTAAGACTTCGATTCCATGCTCCCAAACATAGCTTTAATTTAGTTCTTCTTTTTGTTTTTTGCAAATATATTTTCTGATGGATTTGTCTGTTTGTCTTACTTTAAATACTTTTTGCTTAAGGATTGGATATTGGGGTTTGACTACTTTCTACTACTACTATACTATGGCATTTTTTCCATAAAGTTAAATTAAGGAATTACAACGATAGTTCTCAAATTTGTATCTTCTTGTTATTTATTGTGAAGAGCTTTGTTATAAAGACAGTTGTTTATAATTGAATTTTTTGGAACCTTTCTTTTATTTATATATTTTTAATTAATTTTTATATTTAATTTTTAATTTTTTATTATATGACTTGAACGTATCAAGACTTGTTGTCCCATCTTCCCTTATTGTTATTTTTACCAAAACAAGACAAAAAGAAAAGAAATACATGTTGATGATAAGCATAAAATGGTTATCCTTCGAAGAATCTGTTTTTAATAATATTTTGTTGATTTATAGTGCTGTATGTTATGTTGCTGTATGGTATTCTTAAAAAGTAATTTTTTGTTATTAAATTGGTCATTTTTGTTTCTGCATTTCAGGTTAATAATATTTTGGTGAAAGAGTTTCATTACTAATAACTTGTAAAACAAATGGATCAGAAGTTATGGGATTATCTTCTTTAAACTGTGCCAGTGGTTGTTTTCTGTAATAAAGGGTGCAAACAGAAGTGCTTTGTTTGAGTGAGCAAGATGCTATCTAATTATTTGTCAAGACTGAGTGTTGCATTTCAGCAGGGAAATCCGGTTGTTGGGCAAGAAGGTGGATTCAGATACCCAGTCAAAATTTTGATTGGCCAAGGGAAACTGTTGTTTGCCAACTCTAGGTTGTTTCATTCCTTGCTATTTACAAATTATAGTGGTCTGCATTTACCTCTGCAACCTGGTTCTGTTGTTACTGTACAATCGAAATCACAGTTAGTTGATCGAATAAGAAATTCTTCGCTTGTTGGAGTACTTTCTCGAACATTTTCTGTCCCCTCTGTTTCAGGGCCTGCCTTTCAGGTTTGTAGGCATCACAGTGATCACCTGCTATCTGAACCTAGTCTCATCTCTTTGGGCATTGATTCCCAAAAAACTCATATGGCTGTTTCGGTTTCTAGAGCTGTATTTGGTGACTGTTCTTTACATAATTTAACTTCAAGGCATGGACAACTCGCCATCTCAACAAATAATGCTGCTATATGTTGTGGCAATACAAGTTCTGAAAGTTGCAGAAAAGTTAGCATGAGTTTGAAAAATAAAGAATGGCCTAACAATTATTTACTTTATGGATATTTTCTCTATAACGTTCCAAAGAGGAGGAGCAGCTTTATTCCATGCACAGGGTTCAGATTGATGAGTTTCCACAGTTCATCTCCTGCATCTTCCTCTGCTGGGACTGCTCCTGCTGTGTCCTTTGACAACTCCACACATGAAGAACAACTTGAAAGTTCTGCAGATGCTTCTGAACAGTAAGTTTTCTCATGTGGATTTCGTTATTCTTCCATGAACTGACATGCAGAATATCTTAGATTCCTATAACTAACCCTTTTTAATTTGTTGATGTATATGTAGGATTATGACTCTATATAACAATTCGTTGTTATCTTTTTCAAACAGTATTGCTGTAAATTTTAGTCTTCTTTATGGAAGAATTGATGAAATGTACTTTGTGGTGGCTATTCGCAATTAAGAGAAAGTAGACCTAGGTGGTATGGTCATATACTCCGGAAACCCTTGGATTCACTTGTAAGGAAAGTTATTTGCATGTAAGGTAAGAGATAGAGGCCGATCAACTGGCCAGTGGCCTAGCGATGTCAGGCCCTTACTTCCCAAAGGGAGATCAGGGGTTCATGGCTCAGTGGAGGCATGTGTGTGTGAGTACTAACTAAGAAAAAAAAAAAAAAAAAAGAGATAAGAGGCCGACCAAAACTCACTTGGAATGAAGTAATTATAAATGATCTAAAAGAAGTTGAATATAATAGTTGATATGGCTTGTAATGGAAAAGAGAATTCAAGTGGTCAACCCTATCTGATATGTGATAGAGGCAAACACAAGTACGATGAAATGTTAGACAAGTACGACAAAATGTTAGACAAGTACAACGAAGATTCTAATATTCAAAATTATATATATATATATATATATATTCTAATTATGGATACGTTTAGGAAGTATGGACATGTATTCGTAAGTATCCAAGGAAATTCGGCATCCAATACGAATACTAGAAACTATACTACAAATGCAACTGTTTATTTTCCATGTAATATGTTTTGTACTGTCACACCAATAACTGGAGTGCAGGCCTCAATGGTAGTGGACTGTAGACAAACTATAAGTGGGTATGCCTTTCTCTCGCATATTCTAGACATATTTGTTGGAGTTTATGTAAACATGTTCTTTTTAATGTTAATGGAAGTCACAATATCCTCACTGCCTCCCCCCACCAAAAAAAAAATAAAAAAAAAGTTTAGTTGCAATGTTCTCTTCCACATTTATCTCGTTTTGAGAATACTAGATGCCTAATGGAAGTCACAATATCCTCACTGCCTCCCCCTACCCAAAAAAAAAAAGTTTAGTTGCAATGTTCTCTTCCACATTTATCTCGTTTTGAGAATACTAGATACCTTCCACTATTGAAATTCGAAACCATGGTGCCTATAAGTCTATCTTAGAATGGCTACCCATATGTGGGGAATGGATTAGCAGTGGGGCATACCTCTGTCTTTCTGATGATCGCATGACAGTCTGCAGATTTCATTACGTAGTGGGATTCAATTAATTTTGGATTGCTGAGAGCTTGACAGTAAACTTGCAATGGCTTAAAGCTTTATTTAAAATAGACATGCCCACTGAGTTGAGTCTTAAAGTATAATATATAACCGTAGGCCTATTTGTCATTTTGTATAGACTGCAACCTGTGGCCGTGGTGATATGACCCCTGGTTCTTGATGTGGCTTAATAGCTACTCTTGCCAAACCCTATATGTTCGTTGACCTTGTTGTTGGATATTTGTTTGCTAACAGTGATCTGGCCCGAATAATTTAAATACTTCTGGCTGTTCTCTATTCATCATTTTTCGAGGGTGCTTTCACATTTTTGGTTTGGCCTCGAAAGCTATATATGTAATTTACTATCTTATAGTAATATTTTTGTGCGCCAACAACAAAATCATAAATATCATTAGTTCTGATCTCATTTTGCTCTGATTTGGCTATGTTGTTTATGTGTGGCTGATCGATAATTTTCTCAATATTCATTACGGTTCACTCATCTGCTTTTTGTGTATTTGTATCTTTTTAATTTGACAAAAGTCTGTGTTTAAAAAGGAAATCTAGTAATGACAGTATATATTAACTTAAAATAAAATTAGCTATCCCTGATAACAAGTTTTCCACCATACATGTGGTTCAGTGGGCATCTAAATTCAAAGAATTATGGTATTGTCATGGAAGCTCAGATTTCTCATTTATTTTGTTTTTTGTTGTTAACAATAGGAAGATTGCAGCAGGCAGAACCATGAAACTACTTTCAGGATCATGCTATTTGCCCCATCCTGACAAAGAAGAAACTGGTGGGGAAGATGCTCACTTTATTTGTGCTGATGAACAAGCAATAGGTGTGGCAGATGGTGTTGGCGGCTGGGCAGATGTTGGTATTGATGCTGGGCAATATGCTAGAGAACTCATGTCTAATTCTGTAACCGCGATTCTAGAGGAGCCTAAGGGTTCGATTGACCCAGCCAGGGTTTTGGAGAAAGCTCACTCAAGCACAAAAGCCAAGGGGTCCTCAACTGCTTGCATTTTAGCACTGACAGACCAGGTATGCTACTTTCACTCTAGGCATACCTGCTTCTTTTATAATGTTATGTTTTGATGGGTGTTAAAAGAAACACACACAATTATCTAGTTTGTGTGACGTGTTAACTACTGTAATGAAATCTATGACTGCTGCTTGAGTTTGTGATAATTTGTTGGATCGAAGTTCTCTTGTTCTTGAAGCAAGATTCTCCTCTAGTAACCTGCAATCTTCCTCTTTATTTAGTTGAACTTGGAACGTTTCTTTTAAAATTGAAAAGAAGTATTACTCTAGGTAAATAAAATTAAAGGATTGACTGAGTTAATTCAAAATTTGGCCAAAATTTGAAATACAAAACTAGAAACATATTATTGAGGCAAGGGAGAAGTAAAGAAGTTGTCAAATCATGTGCCTACTTATAAATATGCATATACACAAATAAACAAGCACACTCATACAAAAGCATGTCGTGTCCTTTTATGTCTTTCTCTATGTGACTGAGTTTATTATAATTTTATTTTATGTTATAAATTTCATGTTATGGTCATTAAAAATCTATTTGTTAAATATACATTATTTTTCTATAAAAAATATATTTTCTATTGTTGGGTCCATGTGCTGTTAACGTGTTCGTGTCATGTTGTTCTCTCATGTCTATATCCATGCTTCTTAGATTATTGTGCTGAATCTAATACCGAACAATCATACCATTCTGCATTTGAAAAACTTGAAAATTCACCACACTACTTGTACTCCTTGGGAGTAGCATTTGAATAGTCAAGCTTCTACAAATCTGGGATTAGACACTTGATAAAAGCTTAATTTAAATTATTTGGTCCACTTTAGAGGCTTCTTCTCGGATTTACAGGATATTTTTAACTCCCTGTATCCTGAACTCTTGATCAAGTTAGCATGTGTTGATATTGTGAAAACTGCTTGATGATAGTCATGTGAAAAATTTTATTCTCTGGATATTGAATTTCTATTTGTTAAGAAATTGACTTGTCATTCTGTTATCCTTTGCAGGGTCTCCATGCCGTTAATTTAGGAGATAGTGGGTTTATAGTGGTTAGAGATGGATGCACTGTAATTCGATCCCCCGTACAGCAGCATGATTTCAATTTTACATATCAATTGGAGAGTGGAAATGATGGTGATTTGCCCAGCTCCGGTCAGGTCTGTTGATGCACGCTACTCTTTTATGCTCTTTATCTTTTCATGGAAGTTTATGCTATTTTGGCCCTTCTCTTGTTTAATGCCAATGGACTAGAGTTCATAACCTACCTCATATTATTATATTTATGGTAATCCTGGACATTGCAAATTTTAGTTTCTTCAATTCTGAATAATTGCTCAAATTTTTTTCCCCTAAAACACGAACTATTATCCCTAAATTCTTGTATTGTTTTTCACCCTGATTAATTCCTGATTACACTTTCCAAGGTAAAGAAAAGGAAACTTCCTGCTTATTCCTGAAAGCTTAACAAAATAGAGCACAAGACTGCATACCGTATTTCAGCAATTACTCAAATGTACTTTGATTGATCATAGAATTTGCTAAAAAGCTAAGTGGTCTCTGTTTGTTGCAGGTTTTTACAGTCCCCGTAGCCCCTGGAGATGCTATAATAGTTGGCACTGATGGACTTTTTGACAACTTATATAACAATGAGGTTACTGCGGTGGTCGTTCATGCCATGAGAGCTGGCTTAGGGCCTCAGGTGACAGCTCAAAAGATTGCGGCATTGGCACGCCAACGAGCACTGGACAAAAACCGACAGACACCTTTCTCCATAGCTGCCCAAGAAGCTGGGATCCGTTATTATGGTGGCAAGCTTGATGACATCACTGTTGTTGTTTCCTATATTACCACCAGCACTGAGGTATAACTCTCTCTCTCTCTCTCTCTCAACCCGCGCACACACATAAGTGTGCATGCATTCCACACGCTATATCCTTTCAGAGTTGTATTGTGCATTCATACTTGTATATTCTTGGGAAAATTACCCATTAGTCCTACTTTCAAACTCCAAAGACAAGTAAGTCCAATAAAATTTTCACAATGACAAGTCCGTCCTACTTTTGAAAAATATTTCCAAGTAAGTTCAGATTCTATAAATAATTTTTTCAGTATTTTCCCTTTATTTCTAAATTAACGTTAGTGTGTCTTTTTTTTTTTTTTTTCTCTCGCTAAAATACCAATTTTCTCTTTATTTCCAATATTTTGTGATTAAAGCCTATTTTAAAAAATATTTATTGTTACCAAAATTAATAATCGTAAAATATTGAACAAATGATCTCATATTCACTTTTCATAAATATTCACAACATGTTAAAATACAATGAGATACTTTTCATGCATTACATTTATGAATAGTAAATAAATTATTTTCATTATTTTTGAATTTTGTACTTTGTATTTTTTTATAATAATAATAAAAAAATAATCTAAAGAAAATCTATATAAATTTGAGACAATGTTAGCTAAAAAAGTTATGGGGCAGCGGAAGAGCGCGAATAACAAAGATCCAATGATAGGCAACAAATTAATTACACACAAACATAAGATTTACATGGTTTAGCCAAAATCGGCCTACGTCCATGGATTAGAAGAGATTCTACTATGATTCGTAAAGATAATTACAACAATAGAGAAACAACACCATATACATGCCTTTTTACCATTTACCACTTCACGAGCTTGATCCCTCATTATCAGTGTCACCGGTGTTTATCCTACTTTATCAACCCATAAACTACATCTACCCATCAACTCCTTCATGAGACTACATCTCTTTCAATCTCATAAGTCTTAACCCAAAGCCTATGTATTTATTTATAGAGTTCCAAACCCAATTATTTTATAGACAAGGATTACAATTTCTTATAGGCCAAGACTTACCAAATAAGAAATTACTAAACATAATAAAACTCTAAAATAGAAACATAATTAGAATAGAAATTTGAGATTTGAGACACAAATTCCAACAATCTCCTCCTTGGCTCAAATTCCATTCAGCCAATCATCGCTTCCACGGCATTGATCAGGACAATTCTTTTGCAGCTTCAATCTTGATGATACTCCTACAAATCTCCGATTGTCCTCATTATACTTTGCTCTATTAGTCAAACCTCTAAGGCTCCATCTTGACTTCTTGAACGCAATGCTATGTAACCAAGCCAATTGACTCCACCTACAATTGAAGCCCGTTGTAGCACATGTTGAGACTTCTTGTGTTTACTGAAACTCCTTCACCTTTTGCTCTGAAACCAATTTGTTGGGACAATGGAAGCACGCAAACAAGGAGGATCCAATAAAAGCCAACAAAGCAATCACACACAAACACAAGATATACATGGTTTAGCCAAAATTGGCCTATTTCCATGGATTAGAAGAGATTTTACTATGATTCGTAGAGATATTACAACAATAAAGTAACAACACTATATACATGCCTTTTTACCATGTACCACTCCACGAGCTTAATCCCTCGCTATTGTCACCGGTGTTTTTCCTACTTTATCAGACTACATCTCTCTCAATCTCATAAGTTTCAACCCAAAGCCTATGTATCTATTTATAGAGTTCCAAACCCAATTCCTTGTTAAACAAGGATTATAATTTCTTATAGGCCCCAAGACTTACAAATAAGAAATTACTAAACAGAATACAACTCTGAAATAGAAAGATAATTAGAACAGTATCAAATTATCTTATTATATCAAATATAACTTGAATTTGAAATAAAATTTTCCTAAATTATTATTTTTTTGAATCAAATTGTTAGCGAAATTGTGTGGAAAAATTTAATTAAGCAACAACATACGTGATATACGAAAAGGGTAAAAGAGAAATTGTATTAGTTATAGAACTTTGTTGGAAAGTTTTATGAAAAGTAGAACAACATTATCCTATCAAACCTTTTTTTATAACTTATTTGTCTGTAGAGTGCAAAAGTAGGACTAACTTGTAATTTTCCCTATATTCTTTCCATAGATATATGTTATGTGCTTTAGGTTCTTGTGTGGTTAAAGTCTTCTTTCACATTTAATGGTTATATGTTCTCTATTGTGTAACAAATGGAAGGCATTTTTTTTATGTTATCAGGTTGTCTGTCATCCAGAGTGCTATATTGTAAGAGTGCTATATTGTATTACTACCAACTCGATTAGAAGTTAGGATATTTGGTCTCAAATGCTAGGATGAGAGCCACTAGGTCTTGCACACAATATTATTGGATCATGAGTCTGATCTCAAAGACATTCTTTCTTGGATAGAACTGTTGGAGTCCTTAAAATTTGGAAAACAGGTGACACTTTTTTTTTTGGTAATTGAGATGACAGTAGAAGGTGACAGGCTTCTCTTCCATTTGTTGCTTCTTAGTCTTTTGAATTCTCTGTGCTTTTTCTGGAACTGTTTTTGTAATGGCAACCACTTCTTCTTTCTTCTCATCCTTCGTGAGCTTAGAAAAATCAAGAGGATAGATAATGTTAATTTCTTATTTTCTTTGTTGTACAACATGCATCTGTCTTCTTCAAAAACAACTGAATAGCCTTTCTTAATTAGCTGCCCCAAACTAATCAAATTTTGAGCCTAACTTGGGATTTCAAAACCTCATCAATCAACTTTTTACCAAAATTAGTATCAACTGTTCCTTTGCTTTGAACTTGCATTATTTTGTAATTCCCCATATGTACTTGAGACCTAGTAGATTCGTCAATTTTGATAAAAATAGACTTATCTCCGGTCATATGGTTAACCACCGTCAACATACCATATATTTTTTGCAGTGGCATTGAGGCAAGATAATTTTTTTTTTTTGATTAGTAATAATGAATTAAAAAAGGCATTGAAAAGGGGAACGCATCCCTTAGACATTAGAGGAACTGTGGTCTAAGGCCCCAAAGAATCCAAAAAAGAAATTAAATCATCAGAAGAGGAACAAGAACTCTTCTTCACATAACTAAAGAGAGAACGAATAATAACAAGTTTCAGTGTCATCGTAGGTGACTCCTTCCCTTAAAACATTCTACTATTTCTCTCCTTCTAGATGCACCACCATACGCAATGTGGGACAGATCTCCAATAATCACGTACACCCCTACTCACACGACATCCTCTCCAGGCATGAATTAAATCCTTAGTAGAACGTGGCATTACTCAACACATGCCAAACAAACCAAGAATAAGATTCCAACAATTGTGCGCCACAGGGCAATGCATTAGAAGATGATCAACTGACTTCCCATCTTGCTTGCATAGGCAACACCAATTAACAAAACAATTTCCCCTCTTCCTCAAATCATCAATTGTCAGTATCTTACCCCAAACAGCGGTCCACACAAAGAATGCCACCCTAGTAGGATCCATAGAGCGCCAAATGGTCTTCCGAGGGAAGTCAGAGTATACAAAATTAGACAAACATAAGAACAAAGATCTTACTTCAAAGTGACTGTGAGAAGAGGGAATCCATGTCAAATTGTCATACCCCCTGCCAATTCCTTCCTGTTGATACAATTGGTCCAGAAAAATACTCACCTGGAGCTCCCAATCCTAAAATGAACGCCGAAAATGCACATTTCACGTAATCCCACTATTATTAAACCGATAACAGTCTGCTACATAGGCATGTCTATCAACTACAATACTGAATAATCTGGGAAATGTACGAAATAATCGCTGATCCCCACAGCAAAGATCTTTCCAAAAACGGATGCAACTACCATCACGAACTTTGAAACTAATATGAGAGGAAAAGGCATCCCATCCCTTTCGAATGGATTTCCATGCCCCAACTCCTCCTGCAATAGAAACCGGACGTGTAGTCCAACCGCCAACCTCTTCCCCATATCGACTTTTCATCATTAACATTTTCATCATCAACTTTTTCATCATCTTTCTCTTCATGAAAGTTGGCTTGATTTTTAGGATTGTACCAACACTCTTTTTCTTATGTCCCTATTTTTCACAAATGGATCATTGAGGAATATTGGGATATGTGATGTTGTGGCCCAAATTTGGTGCCGGGTCGCGTTGTGACCTGACGACCCATTTGTTAAGTTTTGTGTGGGTTGTGGGCCCTAATTAGTACCCTTGTAGCCCGATATATAAGGGCGCTTAGGGTTTGGAGTGTATGATTAAGAGATACTGAAAATCGTACAGAGAGAGAGAGTGGGGTTGAAACTTGTAATCTCCGATTTTACACATAGTAAAGACTTTCACCGGATCTCTACCGTGGACGTAGGTTTTGCCGAACCATGTATAAATCTTTGTGTTTTTTGTGTGGTGTGTTTATTTTTCTGTCGCGTTTCGTAATAGTTGCTTGGTTCGCTACGGTTGTCATAACAGAATCTTTATTTTTGTACCAGCAATCCTGTTCAATACGACCCTTCTTTCTGCAATAATAACAAATTGGAATTTCACCATTACCTTTCATATATTGTCTACCTTTTCCATTGGATTGATTCCCTCTTTTGCCTTGAAATCCGTTGTTTTTCCCTTTTCCATTTGAGCCTCTTTTAAATTTCAATTTTGATTGGAAAGTCTACTCCACTTTGATTTTCCTTGAAATCCGTGTTTTTCCCTTTTCCCTAAAGATTTTGCTTGATTAACAATAGAAGTAACTCTAATGAGGTAAGTATGAATTGACTCATAATTTTTCATCATTAGGGTTTCAAATTCACGACGGAGAGTCTGTAACCTTAAAGTAATTACCTGACTCGATCCTTCATACTCATTACAGGGACTAGGCCCAGACGATCGGAACTTTAAAGGCCCATGGGACTGCCCAGATCCATTAGAATGGACATTGGGCCTCCAATGAGCGTGGGTTGGCTGGGCCTTGTGCCTCTTTTCTGGTCCTAAGATACAAGAAAAATCATTAAGTCTCGGTCCATAGTCTTTGTGGGTTGTGGCCCACACTGCTTCGAAAATTTCTTTTTGCATATCCGGAAGAGGTCCGGAATGCATGTGTGGCCCAAACGAGCTCACCCCTTCCCCAATGGGCTTGCGAAAAACTGGATCTGAATTATGCCCACGAGGCCCAACCCAAGTGGAAAGACCACCCCTCACCCCTTTACTTAAGAAATCATGTGCCCTATCTTTGAATTTCAAACTGCAAGGCCTCTTATCCCTTCTCATATCTGAATCAGCATAATCCACCGGTACCATTGCATGCCAACCACGTGTCCCCTCTGCCTCTCCACTGGATCCACGTGCTGGTCGCGCGTGATAGTCACTCCATCTTCTTCTACCTTCAGGAACCTGCAACTCCGATGCCAGAAACCCCTTTCCACCTCTTCTATGCAACCTAAAAGAATATTCTCCCGAGAGAACGGTGCTCTCGTCCCTTCTGTCAAGGCCCGCAGTTGTGGGGACAAGATCAGGAAACCTCTCAACCACCAAATACACCCTATAACAGAGCCGTTCGTCCCTTACCAGAATCCTCTCCGGGACGACGCCATCATTGTTGGCATAGATAATAACCTCGTTCGCATCCTTCCTTTCGTCTGCTTCTACCTTCCTGAACGCCCCATATGTATTGCCGATTGCTTCAAATAAGGCATAAGGCCACAAAGGCAACAGAAGAGCAAAGACTATCTCTATTCTCCTTTTCCTTAAGAATTCCACAACACCCAACACGGAAGGACCACACATCTAGTTATAATTCAGCTTCCTCCCAAGTCCGTTTACCTTCCCTCAAAACCTTACCACCTCAGCATGAGAAGGCAGTCTGAACAGCAAGAGCGAATTCGGCAATGAGGAGATCGACACCAGCAGAAACCTTCTAAGCTCTTGAAGCCCAATCTTCCATTCTTGCACAATCCCCAACATCCCGGCCAAACTTCCCCACCAGAAAACGAACGAGTGATGGCCTGATCCCTCGACCAGAGCTAATCGGGCCCTAAACATTCACACCCCACAAAAGAAACCCTTCAAGGACTTCGAAACACCAAGCAAATCAGAAGAGAGAAGACAGAAAAGAAGAGAGAGGAGAGCAGAGGATTTCACCAGAGTGGATGACTCTGTGACTTGAATGTAGGACAAAGCTTTAGCATCTTTCTTTTTGTTTTCTTTCAATGTTGTTCTTTGTACAACAGTAATTCTATCTTCATGATTATCATATTATGCATAACCACTTTCAACTAATTCTCACAAATCAAGAGAAATAAACAGAGTTTTCATTTTTATACTCCAAAACTAATAATTTTTACCTTTAAAAATGGGAACAATCGGATGAGAATTGTTGTTACCTGTTGCGGCCATTTTTTTTTTACCTGAACCCTTTTTTACGCTTTTCTGACTTCAGTACCGGTTGATCGTTGACTGCTCTAATACCCACTCTGTTAGCCTTTTTGGCTATTATAATGAAACAACAATACATGAAAGGAAAACAAGGCAATTATATTAATTTGGGAATACATATTCTGATTACAATCAACATCTTTAAATAGATGGAGAATGTAATCTAAATGATAACAAACAATAATTCAAAACTCTAATAGCCTTAATCCTATCAACCATTTTATTTTAATTTTAAATTCTAACTCACAAAATAACACTGAAGGTTAAATTTGAATTAACTTCCAACAGGTTATGCCTAGGTCTATTGATTGATGCTTGGAGAGATTGTCATGTGGGCCCTCATACCTGAGAGTTTTGGAGAGTCGCTCCCCCTTGTGTTTGGTGGTGCATTTGGAAGGAATGGAATAGGAGATCCTTTGATGGAGAGGAATCTCCTTTTGGGGTTTTAAAGTTTTTCATTGTCTGCTCTCTTTTTTGTTGGGTTATGCGGAAAAATTGTAAATCTTAAGAGGAGATAGTTGATTTTTTGGGCTCTCTGAGCCATTAGGGCCTTTGGCTCGTGCCATTTATAGTTCTTAGGGATGCGGTCCCCTTTTTAATACTTTCTTACTTATCAAAATAATTAAATAAATAAACAGTAGCACCATGATACTCTTACCATTCTTGCCAAGGTTTCAAATAACAATAACAGCTGCTGTAGTTGTAGTGAGATGGCAGTGCGGAAGTAGGGTCTAGTGGATTTAATGTAACAGAAGCAACTACTTGAGTCATGATTTTTTTTATTTTTTTTCTCACTCGCAACTCTCCCGAAGTATGTCACTATGGGTGTTTTGAACCCAAAATCCTATAAATTGAATTTCTTGAATTTTGTTAATTTTATAGAGATGATTTTTACGTGCGTAATGAGATTCCTCCATTGAACTTTGTCACTTTCAGTACGAAATGTTTTTTAATTGTACTCAAAATTCATGTAAACATAAATATGTAATGTTTTTCATTAAATAATGTTTAAAGAGCATCTTTGTCTCAATGTCACAAATACGTATTGAAAGGGATTTGCAATTGAGATTATATGGAAATTAGAAAGAAGAGGGGAAAAAAAAGAAGTAAAAAAATAAAATAAAATCAGTAAAATCATCTAATAATAAAATAAGGGGATAAGGAGAGGGAACTCCCCTTTTGATAAATACATTTTTTTCCCCTTTTTTTTATTTTTTATTTTTTTATTTTTATGGCGTGACAATAAATGCTTCTAATGCTTGTTTTTTTACTTATGAGTAGGACGCTAATGTCATATCACTTTAAAAGTAGAGTGCATTCATCACAAAGAGGAGTTCAAATATTGGCTTCCTATGTAAATAGCATGAACCTTGCAATTTATAACTTACTAGTGTAGAAAAGAAAAAAAGAAAAGAAAAGAGAAGAAAATATATTTATATACAAAATTAACTTACCCCTTGATGGAACCCGAAAGTAAATCTATAGTAACAAGATCCATTAACAATCTCTCAAGATATAACATGTAACAACAAATTTAATTAAGATGAACTCTAGATGAAGTGAAAAAGTTTTGAAACTCGTCAATTCAATGAAATGTCCCAAGCTCTTGATTTAAGATCTAAATTAGATCTTGTGTAATGTATGTTTTGGAGATTAGATCTAGAGTTTTTGTAGCTTTAGAACCCGGAATCGTGACGGGTATAAACTTGTGGGAAAAAAACAAATGATAAAACCTCATGATCTGAAAAATCTATCACAGTTCTGCAATAGTTTGTTATGACTGAAATTTGTGGTCCAATATATGCCATAATTTAATGACCGCTCTGTTGAATTGCGCGGTTGGTTTCTCAACGCTATACTTCCTCTATCCTCATATCTACCATCTTTATTATAGGATTGTTGTTCAGGATTTTAGCTAAATATAGTTTCACAAAGGGCTTGTATCTGGGAAAGTATTGGATCTGTTGTTTGCATGGATGCATCTAAAAAAGACAGTATCCTTACCTCACTGAAGAAATTATCCAACTTCCATATTTTAGATTTAACAAAACAATCCTACTACAAAGGGTATGCTCATTTAGGGAGGCGACGACTGGTGTTCCCTACTATGTTTGATTACCAACATATATCATTACGTAGTTGTGGCCCGTTTGATTAGTTCTCTGGATAGATTATGCACTGCAATTAGTTAAGAAAGTATAAAAGGATTCTAATGTTGTTTATATGTTATGCAGAAAAAGTAGTCTTCCCCTTCAGCGTGTGGCTCCTGTTAAAACTTATGTATACCCGACATCATCTCTGACTACAAGTTGCAAGGAGTTTAATGAGTCACCTAATGATGATGAGGTAGCAACCTCTCCTGTTGTAAATATATACTCTGCATTTTTGCTCGGAAATGGAAGTAAATGAGGGATTATTAATTTTTGTATTTGTTTTTTTAATTTTCCTAGCACCAGTTAATTGGGTCGGCCCTGTATTGAAACTCTGATATAGAAAAAGGACCTCACAGCATTATATGATCTTGGTGTCATACTGTGATAATCTTTGAGATAGCTTGTAAATTTTGCGCGTGCTATCTCCTGATAATTAATTATTTTTTAAAAAGAAAAATTGAAGGTGATGAATTATGCTCTGGATTACTATTTAAAACTTGTATACAGGTGGGGAATTAAAACTCAGGAAGATCCTCGTATTATTTGCAACTATGCTTTTTGGACAATAACATTTCTATTCGAGACAATGGCATAAATAATTCGCGGGTGTGGCATGAGTTTGAAGGCTGCTGGAATGATGTTTGGTTATGTTGGTTTTCTCTGGAGCTAGTTACCTTGGTTACTGTAGTCTATATGTCCTGGTATTGAAATACGCTGGCCTGTTTGCAATTGTTGTAGGGCTGTCTTGGGGAGCTTAGCACTTTTCAGAAGTATATTCTTTCCATTTTTTCATTCCTTAATATAACTTTTCTCTCAAGAATCGCAATGCAAAACAGGCACTTTATTGTGAATGTAAGTTGGTGAAGAAAATATCTATTCTATTCTAAACTTCTGACTATAACAGGGTTCCTCTTGTATATTTAGGATACCTAATGTTCCTACACAAATGTTAGCTAGATTAAAGCAGTTTTTTCTTGGCAAGAAATTCATACACCATTTTATGTATAAGTAGACTTGAACTTTCAAGTACCCATTTGCTCCAATGCATGTCTGGGTGCAGAAACATACACCATTTAAGCATACGTAGACTTGAACTTTTGCGTACCCGTTTCCTCCAATGCATGTCTAACTGCAGAAACCGAAGCCTACTCGGGAAGTAGATTTTTTTATTTTTTATTTTTTATTTTTTTTTGGAAAGTTAAAACAACTGACAATTGATGGAACGGGGATTCGAATCTGGACCTTTGGCAGCAACCATCACACCCTACCAATGGGTGGGAAGTAGAGTTGTTATAGTAAATAACACGTAATGCTTTTGAAGACTTGTTATAGAAAGAACTTTTCACAATTAGAGTACTCTTCAAAAACTCTACAAAGCAAAATTAATAATTATAAGTTTTCCCACAAATCAGCAATTCAATAGGCGAAGGGGTCAGTCACATTGTGAAATCACATACCAAAGAGTTACAATTTTTATATCTTTTTCTTTTTCTAGCAAGAAGCTCTCACACTCATTTGTCTTCTCCCTTCCATTTTGAGTGGTATGACGAGTGTAGATTTCTAGATTTTTATATTGTTGGTTCTCTGCACTTCGTGCAAAAAGAAAGAAATACTTGCAAAAATAAACAGGAATCACACATTCAAGATGAGATTTCGTGAACTCCAAATCAAAATAAAATAAAAATTTATGGAAAAATATTTTAAAACAATTTTTTTGATTATGGAATAATGAAACTAATACTAAAGAAAAATAAATAAATTTCAAGAAAGAAGAATTCACCACCATGGATTCATATTAATAAATTAATAGTATAATTTTCTTATATAAGTTTTCCACCAAATGAATGATGTTCTGTTGTTACTTCTTTTACTACCTCTTGCTTGTTAGAAAGAATAAATATTGATAGACATTCCTCGTATTTGTATTAATTGACATAAAAGGAAGAATCCTTCCTTTATTTCTCTAGTGGTAGCCATTATCTGTATTTCCACTACACTTTGGCTTATCACGAATAATGCTCCGTCTATTTTTGTAGCTTCCATTCTTCATTACGAAGTTTTTGTCATTGAAATTCATAAAAGAATAACTCTCCCGATGAATTATCATACAAGAAATAAAAGACACAAACATGCATACTTCAACCACGGTGGTTTCATCACTCCCATGAGAGGAATATTACACTAACTTAATAACAAAAAATTAAAAGATAAAAATAAAACTAAACTTCAATTGAATGAGAAGAAATACAAAAATATATACAAGAATTGAGCTTACTCCAAAATGAGCAAGCTCTCCATTACGCTCTCACTTTTTTCCGCAACTCTTTATATATCCCCTATCCCTTTTAAGAGCTTAATTAGAAGGGAGAAATTATGAGGGAAAAATAAAATAATTTGAGAATCAAAATATTGAGATCCTAAAATCTTGTTGCTTTTTAATTTGAATTGATATTTGCTGATTTGATGAAGTGCCAATTTTGAATTTGAATGGCCGTGTATTAAAAAATAAATCAATTGTGCTACAACCAAGTCTTGAACTTGAGAACTCGAAGTAAGTTATGTACCGAATCATCACTTCTACAATACTTTTAATGCTTTTCTTTAGTTATAAATAATTCTCATCCTTTCTGCAGTCATAAATTCTCATATTTTTGCTATTTTTGCTTCTTCTCTTCTCAATTTATATCTATAAAACATAAAACCTATATATAATAATACTTAAATAATATAAAATACAAAATATTTATTTGAATGCATAAAAGGATAGATTTTGTTATAACACCTCTAGACTTCACAACTTTTGATGATGTGAGAAAAAAAATTAGATCATGGAACTCCTAATATTAGATCATGGAACTGATCTCATTTGCTAAAGAACCAAAAAACCGATAATTGCTACAAAAATATTCGCATGACATACAAATGCCAAAACATTCAGAAACCCCATTTAATTTTCTTTAATAGCTTTATTGATCTCTTTAATTTGTGAATTGCTTTTTCCGTTGTTAAACTCATCTTCTAGTGACCGCTTGTCCCGTGGTTTCTCTCCTCCTCGCCTTTCTCCGCATTATTCTTTTTCATTTTCACGATGGTTTTCTCTAGGAGAGGGTATGATTAAATGTAATGTGGATACGTCGTTTTTGGCCTCGTCTCAGATTGGGGGTGGTGGAGCTATTTTTCGTGATTCTTTTGGCAATATTTTACAAGCCGTAGTGTTTTTGGCCTCGTCTCAGATTTGGGGTGGTGGAGCTATTTTTCGTGATTCTTTTGGCAATATTTTGCAAGCCATAGTGTTTTCTCCTTTTCCTGTTACTTCTGCAACCTTAGATGAGGCTATTTGTCTGCGCAAAGCTATCCTTTGGACAGGTTCATATTCAGTTTCTTAAGTTTGGTTTGAATGTGATTCAAAGGTTGTGGTTCAAGCAGTGACGGGTAATGCTCCTGGGCAGACAGAAATTCATTCACTTGCCTTTGATATTCAAGTGGCGCTTTAGAGCTTCTCATTATCTTGACTTAGTCATGTTCATAGAAATGGTAATAAAGTTGCTCACGTTATTGCGAAGCTTTCCAGAGATTTCATTCCACAGGATATGACTCTTGTTCATCTTCCAGGAGATACTCTTGACTTGGCAGCTAAGGATTGTATGTCTTGCTAGTTGTTGATGTTGTTGCTATTTGCAAGGTTTTTGACAAAAAAAAAATTATTGGGTTTCACACTGTTCATTTTATTGACGCACACTTTTTTTATTTTAAATTTTTTTATTTTTTGGAAAGTAAGGTGATTTTATAAATTAAAGCAAAATTTACTTAAGTAGATGAAAGAGTGGCAGGCCCACTCACAAAACACTGAACAAAACATTGTCTAACAAACCCGAGCGTAGGCCCAGTATAGCAACAAAGACCATACTAGTCTAGGGTGGACTAGACTATTCTTGTCTAAAGCATACCCACATCCGGTGTATCACAGCATGGTACAAAGCCCTAATCGGCTCAATCCGGCGGCTCTGGAGGGTGGTTTGATGAACGGCGGCAAGTCCCATTCAAGCATCAGCCTTCTTGCACATGGCGAGTCTTTAACCAACGTAGTTAGAAGCTTCTGCCTTACCAAATCAGTAATCTGTCTGAAGATTGTAATCTGATTGCCTTTTATTGACACACACTTGACTATGCTAATTCGAACAACCACCATCGATACAAGAACTTGCCTGCATTACAAAAGCAAACATTATACTATTTCATTTTCAGTGTTGCAAACAACCATGTTCAGGAAAGAAATATAACACAAGTGAGATGGTGGTGTTGCTATATCAAAACTAAACTTATTAATTTGATCAACAGATTAAAAAAAAAATAATAGCAAACAATAAAAATATATATGTTCCCAATAGCTAGTGGTGAAATTAATATTTCATCAAGAATCAACGGCTACAGAAGAACAAGCGATATGCTTGTACATTATAAGGGTACCCGTCATTGAAAATGGAAGAAGAACTGCTTGCTTCTCCACGGAAGACACCACCCTAATTTCCTCGTATCATTCACTACTCTCTTAATATCCACTCAGTCCTAATACTTATTTATTTCAATCACCATCTTTCTCTCATGGCTACATTGAAACTGACTTTCACTGATCTGCTAAAGAAGTTGAAGCTCACAAAGAAAGAAAGAAGAGTTCAATTTTTCTAGGGAACTCACTGCCATTGTTTTCTTCAATAGTGGCAGTAACAGTGAGTTTCTGGAGTAATGCAACTCTTCATTCCTCATTTTGAGCTTCAACTTCATTAACAGATGAGTGAAGTCTGTTTCAACAGAGTCACGGACAAAGAGATGGAACTTGAAACAAATAAGAATGGAGCAGTGGGTACAAAGAGAGTAGAGAATGATAGGAGGGTTTTTGAAATCTGAGAAGAAAAACTTATAGCTTGACACATTTATATAACAGGGAGGGAAGAGAGACCCGAGAAATCACGTGTAGTGTAGTAGTAAGATATGAGAAGTAAAACAAAGTGAAGAAGACACATCGTCATTTTTAGGGTTGGGGAGAGGGATATGTAGAGCAATCAGAGATGCGTGAACCAATATGAAAAACTGAAGGTATGAAAAACTGAAGGAGGCGAATCTTGAAGTTGGAGAAGAGAGAGAAGAGCAATGGCACATGGTGTGGCGAAGAAGAGACCACTTAATTTTATGTTGGGGAAGTGAGACCAGAGTGTAGATAGGGCAGTGATGGATATATATAGAGAGAGATGGAGATATATATATATAGAGAGAGAGAGATGAAGGAGAGATATACAAAGAGAAAGCAAAGATTCGTCCTGTACAAGCAGAGGTGTGAACCAACATGAAAAACTGAAGGAGACGCATCT